GATAGATAGATGATAGATAGATAGATAGATAGATAGATAGATAGATAGATAGATAGGTATAGAGCAGTCTATGAGAGTCTGATACTTAGCTGTTTACTGAAAGAAATCTGAAAGGACAAGCAAGCATAGGATTAAAAAATGTAAGTAAATACTCTCAGGATCCAGCAATAAATCATGAATATTTTGGTACTTCCAGATCTTCTGTGGATTTATACTTTTTTAAAATTTTATTTTCTTTTTTTATTTTATGTGTATGTGTGTATTGCCTGCATGTAGGTAAGTGCACCGTGTAGTGCAATGCCCGCAGAGGTCAGAAGAGGTTGTTGGATTCCCCTGGGACTGGAGTTACAGACAGCTGTATACTTTATTTTTTTAAGATAGTTTATGTGTATGAGTGTTTTGCCTGCATGTATATAAGTGGACTACATGCATTCAGTGTCCTGCAGAGACCAAAAGAGGGTGTTGGATCTCCTGGAACTGGAGTTACAGACAGTTGTTAACTGCTACATGGGTGCTGGGAGTTGAACCTGGGTTCTCTGGAAGAACAGCAAGCATTCTTAATTGTTGAGCCATCTCTCCAGCCCCTATACTCTATACTTTCAGGGAGAGCCAGTGGGATGTGATAGAGATGTCTTAAAATTACAATAAACAGCCAGGAGCCGGGTAAAGGGAAAGGATACATGGAGGTAAAGGAAAAGAAACAACCTGAAAGGAGGATAGCTAGGAACAGATGTTACCTGAGGTGGAAAAAGTGGGAGTAATTGGCAGGGAGGAGAGGAGGGAGGGACATGCAAGGAACCATTGTGTAGGGGAGGCAGGAAAGTCAGGAGAGGAAAGATAGCTAGAGTCAGGAGGTACTGGGGGGACTAGGGAAAAGTGACTAGGGAAGGAGGGAGGCGGGAAGCCGGATTGGGAAAAAAAAAAAAAAAAAGTGGAAATGAGTGAATCTTGGAGGGCTAGGACACCAAAAAAGAAAAGTTATGCCTTAGAAACCATTTGAGAAATGTACATAAAGTGTCTGAATGTAAATGCATATGTATACCTGGGAGCTGTTCGGCAAGGAATGCAGTGCCAGATAGAAGACCTCCCTTAGAGTGACATGCATGCCATACAGCATTCATCAAAGAAGCTTCTTTTGGCAACAGATGGAGGCTACTTCAGAGTTGCACATCTGGTCAGCCACAGAGAACATGTCTGAGAGATGCCCAGTACCAGGTGATATATCTGCAGACAAATCTCTACAACTAAGGCTCATGGAACATAGTGGAATAAGGGGTAGAGAGAGGGCTAATGGACTCCTCAACTCCCACCAGTGAGGCTTCCATGTACATCAGAGTGTAATGCACACAGAAGGCCACAAATGGCCAAGTTTTGGAGAATAAGAGACTGTAGAGTGTAGGATGGGACTCCTACATGGAACCTCACCCACCCACAGCTCAGGGACCATTGCAGAAGAGGAGGCGGAAAGATCGTAAGAGCCAGGGCTGGTTCATGAACACAGGAAGATGGAGGCTTCCAGACCACTGGAGGCTTGCTCATGTGAGCCTGTGGCAGTGGTGGCATTGAGCATGGGACCCATATTAGTTCAATTAAACAAGGGTCCAAAGCGGAAGTGAGAAATAGGTGGCAGATCAGCACTAGACAGAGAACTATTTGAGATTGATTCCTACTGGGTTAGGGAGAGTATGACTTACATACGACCACTGGATGGCTGCCTAGACTCCAGTGGACGTATTTACACTGTAGGACATTTGGGTACAAACACCTGAATGAATAGGACTCATCATGTATGGCAGAGTGCATAGGGTTTGGTGGGGGGATAGGGAGAAGTATGGATGGGGAGGGGGTGTGGATTTGAGTGGGAAAGCTCAATAAAAATGTTTAAAAATACAATAAACATACCCCCATAACAAATTAACATACACTAACACTTCTAATGGTTACATAAAGCATAGTATTCTGATGTTTAACTTCACAATAATTTACCTTTCATATTTATAGGTTTACCCAGCTTTCAAGTCGTTATTATTATGAATTATTCTGAAATATATTTGTATTTGAATTTTTAATATAGTAAGATTTATTCTTTTTTAATTATTTAATAATCATATAATTAGAAGCATTTCATTACATCAGAATTGACATATTCAATAACAATTTCCAGAGCAAAAATACATCTTTTTCAAAAGTGGCTATAAAGTTTTAGGTCCACAGTTGAATTAATACAGTTATACAATATTGAAATCGGTATAAACCCTGTAACTCATAAAATTTAATGAGTT